CTAACTGTCGTGAGAGTTGCTATGACAATAAACAAACCACATTCTCCGTCTCGAACAGGTCGATCCTGTCAGCAGTGATTTTGTTGGTTTATCCTTTTTGCTGGTCAAGAGTGTCAACATACTTTGTTTTTGTTGATCTCGAAGCCATCGGACCAAAATTGATCCTAAAACGTGATCAAACTGTGATTGATCACGGTTTAGGTCTTAGATCACGTTTTAAATCTTTCACATCTTCTGTGAAAGATTTTGTAAAGGGGGCGATGCATTTTCACAGAACTGTGTGTACTAAACCACAGCCTTTTTCTTTACCATTTAGATAAGGATGAAGATAAGTGGCTTCAGTGGGTCTAAACTCCAGAACAAACCCGTTTCTCATTTCCCTTTTCCAGCAGAGTCGACAGCTGACGCGCTCGTGATCTGGTTCAGCCAGAAATATGTACCAAAGTTTATGACCGGGACGCTGACTTTAGCTGACCCGCGTTGAGTCAATACCACTGGAAAACTGAGCCAAGCTCCAATGAGGACAGAGGTCAAAGGATCAGACCCTGACGATTCTGTCTGGTTCATGTCCAGCAGGTGAGAGGTACAGTTTGTTTCCCAATGTTAGAAAGATTTACAGCATTTATGAAAACTACAAAAAACAACTGGAAATCGAAATAACCAGCAAAACATCATAATCTTGACTATAATCCCAGCACTTTGATATTCATTTTATTAATCTCTTTTCTCAGTTTTGATTTTAATAGAGAAATTTTCACATTTATTTTTTAAAATCAGAATCCAGACTTTAATCCCACAATTTTTACATTAATCATACAATTCTGTCTTTAATCTAAAGAATTTTACATTAATCTCAAAATTCTTACTTTAATCCCAGAATTTATAGATTTAATCTTTGAATTCTGACTTTTTTTTATCATAATTTTGACTTTAATCCCAGATTTGTTTCATTAGGCTCACTGTTCTGTATTAAATCCCATCATTTTATTTTAAATTGTCTTTCTTCTCAGAATTCTGGTTTTAATGCCAGAATTTTTAAGTTAATGTCCAATTTCAATCTTTTGTCTCAGAATTCTGACATTTCTCCAAATTTTGACATTAATCTCAGAATTTTGACATTAATCTTGGAATTTCGTCTCAAAATTCGTAAATTCAGACTTTTTAGAAGAAAAAAAAATCTGAGTTTGATCTCAGAATTTTGAATTTTCTTAGTTTCAAAATTGACTTTTCAATCCCTCAGAATTCAGAGATTAAAAGCAGATGTTTTTTCTTCTGTTGCCCTAACCCTATTCTGTAGGAATCCTTATATTCTGGATTCTGAACTATATGAATATTTATTTAAAACCATTTTATCAGGAGCTACAAAAGAAAGAAAGAAAACCCAGATCAGTAACCGAGGATCCCGGTGCGGCTCAGCTCGTTGTTGGTAATTAATTTAATCTTCCTGTTTGTTATCGGAGCAGAAACGTTTCACGCTGACCTATTTGTCAGCGAGTCTCCAAGTTATTCTTTTCACGCAAAACCAAGTAAAACAAATTTAGGTCCTATAGAAAGAAATATTTTCAGTCTGAAATAAGTCAAGATTTATTAAAATGACAAATATAAATACAGAAACAATTATAATGCATGCAGAGCTCATTTTGTAAATCTAAAACATTTTACAAATATGAACATAAAAACACGTTTCAAACAAAGAAGCAGAGCTTGAATATCTGGGATTTTATACTGTTTACGGCCATTAGTGAGAGCTAGCTGCCATTTTGTGCCTTTCAGATATTTCTCTGTGGATGGAGTTAAAAATATATTCAAAAATATTCAGTTTTTAAAAATAAAAATTAAACTTTTATCCCTTTAAAAAACAAGATTTTATTTGAAATGACCCAACTGTAGCATTAAAAATAAGGAGTGTAATACGTTTCCTGAGTTTTTCTGTGTTTTAATCTGGTTTTTGGTGAGCAACAGTGCGATTATTTCATTAAAGTTAAACAAAAAAAGGTGACATTTTAAATTAACATTCACTGCTACAAACTGCACTGTGGAACCGTAGTTCGGCTGCAGATGCTTCTTATTGTGACCAAAAACGGAGGATCAATGCAGAAATCGCAGCAGCTTAGCGAATGCAAAGCTAAAATCAGTGGTAAATGAGATTAGCTTTGCACAGTGATGCGAAACAGAAGGAAACATGGAGGCTGACTGGCCTCCAGCAACTCCACCGGTCAATAATTAACAAGTTTTATCTGCTTCATCCAGCACAAAACTTCCCTTACTTTGGCTCAGTGCAGATCCTCACGTGTGATAAAGTAAACCGAGTCATAAATGTGCAGTGGAGGCTCTTCTGCCTATTTTATCTATGAAATGGGTAAAATAAGGAGGATTATTTTTTATGCACAGCGCTGGTGAACGCTTTAAATAAATTCATTATGAACATGAATGTTGTACAGATTTTGCTTTGTTGTGAATCATTATTTTTCAGGATTTGACTCCAATGTAAAGATACAACCTCACTAATATGTAGACCTTCTTTATTATTCTGCTGACTTTATGAAAACAGAACCAGAAGAGTTTTCAGTTTTAAAAGCTTCATGTCAAATTCTCCAAACTTATTTATTGCTATTGAGGTTGAAGTTACATAAAAACCTTCACCAGAACATCTGGTTTGTTCATTTTGATGTAAAACCACAAAGAAAGAGGGAATGTTTTATAATTAGTCTGAACATTGGTCATTTCTGGTTCTTCATATTTCAAATATCCTAAGATATTTGGACTAGAATACGGCATATTAGGGTGACTGCAAACAGAAAAAACAGGAAGAGTGCATGTCCACCAGAAATCCTCTAATCTCAGAAGGTTTCTACAAAAATCTTGGAAATTCCTGAGTTTCAAAAGTCAAGAGTTTGTCAGAAAAATCTCAGAAACTTTGAAATTAATCTCAATATTTCCAGAACAGTTGAAATTTCTGAGTTTCAAATTTGCTAGAAAAAAAACTACATTTTTTTTTAGATTGATCTCAGAAATTTTCTAAACTAAATCTCAGAAATTTGAGTTTTAAAAGTCTAGAAAAAAAAACTATGATTTTTAGATTGATCTCAATATTTCTAGAAAAATCTCAGAAATGTCCAAGTCTGAAAAGTTGAATATTTGAAAAAAAATACTTTTCAAACTATAGAGAATTTCTCAGATTAATCTCAAAATAAAATAAAAATAAAATAAATAATAATAAAATAAAAATAAATTCCAGTAAATTTTCAACTTTTGGAGCTCAGAAATGTCCTTGTTCTTTCTAGAACATTTCTGAGATTGAGTTTTTTTTCCATCTCCAGTAGCCCTAATTCGTCGTAGAAACTAGACGGTGATGACAGGATTTTGTGTTTTTGCGGTGTAATGAAGAATGTTGCCACTGTTTTAAATGTAAACATAACACTGAAACAAAGGCACATTTTATTGGGCTACATGTCTTTACCTTCTCCCTCCTCTGTTATTTCTGCAGGTAGAAGGGGCTGTCGAAGCCGCTGTCCTGCAGACACTGCCTCAGCTCAGAGAACGGCGGCCTGGAGAAAACGTCGCCGTCTGAGCCGGGGATCGGCTCTCTGGCCAGACTCTTCTTTGCTTTCTTGTTGTTTTCAGTCTGAAGTGATTGTTTGGGGATTTCCTTGTACACCGTCAGGTCCGAATCGTCCGGAGTGGCGACCCCTAGTGCTCTGATGTCAGCATCCAAAGCTGAATTAGCAGAAAAAGGCCTGAGCGGGTCGGCTTCGCGCCGCGGTCTGGCTGCGTTTGGGCCCCTGTCCGAGTCGGTCAGGCTCCAGTCGGTCTGCTTCTCCTCTCTGACTGGAGCCTCCTGGACGAGGAACGGCCGGCTCTGCCGCGCCAACTCTGCCTTGCTGGAGTCGCCTCTTTGCAGAAACCACTCGGCGCTTTTCCCCCTCGCAGACAAACCGGCAAAACCCACGTGGGATTGGGAGGGTTTGTGAGGGAAAGAGTTTGAATCGAAGGTTTGTGGCTTCGTCACGGAGCCGTCCTCGGAGTTAAAGGTTCGAGTTAAAGGTTTGGTCCTAAATTCTGCGGTTGTTTTGGGGCCTGAATCAGCAGAAACCTTTTCCCTTTGGGGTTGCTGCTCTGGTCTCGCATCAGGAAGTTCGTTTGGCGTCGTCAGGTTGCTACGGAAACCTGAACTTCTAGTTGGAACACCAACAATGGTGCCGGAAGATTCCCCCGTCGAACAACCTGCCGATGCAAAACAGACTGAGATGATACAAAATCATTCTCAGATAATGAGATTTTAGTTCTGAGCTCCTGTGAGAATGAAATCTTTTAGGGCCTCTGTCACTTTAAATCCAAATAGGCTGCTTCTGGCTACGCCCCCCAAGGCAACGTTTACATTCGCCTGTGAAAATGGCTGCAAAAAGATGCACAATTAAACAACTGTACATCTTTGAAAAGCAGAAGCAGAGCCTCCCGCACAACCAATAAGAATGCAGCAAGAGGTTTCTGGATGGTAAGTCAACAACAAAACACTTGTCTCTTCCTGCAGCCAATATACGGCGGTAAAACCAGCTGACAAAATGTGCTGGAGCTCCGCTGGGGTTGCTAAGTGACAGGTGGAGTGCCGCTCGAGTTGCTAGGCAACGGCGCAGTCCCCTGACTCAACAATCAGGAGGTTTTTGAAACGGCCAAAAAACATAAATTTATTGCCAAAAACTCAGGTTTTTGTTTTTTACTCTGGAAGTTTTCAGAAGCAGTTGAGACCCAAGTAGAAATCTAAAAACTGGTAAAATGTGAATTTTGTTTCCTCATCTAGGACTTACTTGGTGGAGAGTAATTCTTTCCAGAGTTACTTTTTACCGGGGTCTCCAGCACTTTAGCCATGGCTGCCAGCTTGCTTGCAGCACTCATTATTTTCTTCTCAGCACTGCAGAAGACAGGAAGATCAATACAATTAGCCGGAGGAGCAATACTGCGGCAAGCGAACAAGTTCGGGACAATTAAAGCCTCTTGCCCCGTGGCTTTCCCCCCGTCCTCCAGTAACTCCTGCAGACAGGTCAGATAATAGCGGCGCATCTTCCTGGCCGTGTCCTGCCTCTCTCTCTGCACCTCGCTGCGGATCATCTCTGCCGCGCGCTCTCGACTCTCCTGCAGGTAGCGCAGCATGTCCCCTGGCAGAAACACACAGTCGGATTTGTTTGTTGCAGCTGCGAACTCGGGGGAAGTTTCTGTGCGTCCAACTCAACACCGACCTCTGATCTTTTCCACGGTGACGAGGTATTGCTGCTTCATCTCTTCCAGGCCCTGCTGAAGGTTTTGTTGGTGATCCGAACTTCTGAGAAGAAAAAAAGAAAAAGTTTCCCACAGTTATACTGATCTGAACCAATTAAAAAGCCTGGAGACTTTCAGATGTTTAAAGTTGTGTGGAATTACTTTTACTATTTGAATTTTATTAATATTATTTAGGTTTTTTATATTTCATGCTGCATTTTGTAGTGATTTTTTGAGACAAACTAACACACATAGGATGTAACAATAAAAAATATAAAAATGTTTCAACTAGGATCATCCTGCAGATTCTCTGTCCTCGCTACAGCAAATCATCTCCACAGTATGATGCTGCCATGTTTCAAGAAGGTTTGAAGGTGTCCAATGTAGGTGTAAATGTCATAATATTTTATGTTATTGTGATAAGAATAAAACTGATGATAAAAAATTATTTCTTGCTTTTTTTTAAGGTAACTGCATAGCACCACAAGCATAAATGTTCTTGAAAAACATCTATATTAGAAAAAAAGCTTCTTCAGGACAGAAAATACTTGATTTTTATTAGTAAACTGCACATAGAGACTTTAATTATATTTTAAAATGTACTGATATTTATTGGTGCTAAAAAGAGGAGAAAATAGTTAAATTAACATTTTAGTAATTTTTTTAAACATTCACTGAAATTTATCATGACGATAAATCAAAAATCTTAACATAAGAAATTTTTCACGATAAATGATACGATACACATCGTTAGTTCTGACCAGAGATCTTTGTCCACATCTATTAGTTTGTTATTACGTCTCTTCCAGAAAGGAAGTCTGAGTTGTGTGGATCTACGTTGCTCCTTTTGGCTACGGCTCTGATTGACGTTATTTTAGGAGGCGGCCATGTTTCACTGTTTTTACGGCTTTAAAATTCAGCTTTAAATGTCTGCACACTTCAATCCCACTCCTGGTCTTTGTGATTCTGTTAGTTCAAAACTCAAAATACTTCAAATAAATAAAAATATATTCACACTTAACAGTTGATCTGAACACTTGAAGAAGGCTCGACAAATACTGCTTAGGCATTCTAGTAGGAGTTTTCCAGTCTGTTTTGATAAAACGAACTCAAATTAATATATTCTTCGGTATTTACAGGGAAAACATACATTTTTACTAGATAAAATAATTTATAATGAATATTCTGGATGGATGGATGTGAACAACAAACCCTGAAGATTCATTAGCTCTCTTCACTTCCTCCAGCTGCTGCAGATGTTCCTCTTTCAGCTTCTGAATGCTGCTTTCATGCTCATCTATATTTTAGGGAAAAATAAATACACAACAGAGGTGCAGAGTCAGTGTGGGTTCAGGATTTTATGACAGAAGTTTAAATCACTTAAATGCACCTCGAAGCTGCTGCACTGCTGTTTTGTGCTCACGGATGCGATGCTGAAGTTGACGACAGGCTTTCTCTAAATGCCTCTGGAGCTCCTGATTCTTCTTCTGCAGCTTTCCCAAACTCTCAGTGCAACCCTTCCTGCAGCCAGGCTGCTCCTTCCTCCGAGCAAGAGAGCCTGGAGACAACAGGCAGTCATGATAGAAATTAAAAAGTGTAAAATAATGCAATATTTTACATCCAAGTGCAATGCACACCTTGAATTTCGTTGATTTGTCTTGTGTGTTTCTCTTGCGTCTCTTTTAGGATGCAGCTCAGCTTTTCTTCACTCATCTGTAAAAGTAAAATACAGACATTATTAAAAGTAAATAAATTCAGTTTGTTGCAACTACAGACACTTCGGAGCAATAATCAAAGATAAGCTGGCTTTTCATAAGATCTGAAAAAAGGGCAGCAGAGACTCAGGGACTTTCTAAGGAAGTTAAATATTTTTAGTGTAGATAGATGCCTCTTTTATTGGTCTTTATCAAATTTGTTTTAAACTTTTTCTATGTTTGCCTGGTCTGGAAATGTAGGAGTTCAGAATAAAAACTGCCCATAAATAAAATTAATTTTTCAAATAAAAAAATAAACATTTTATTTCCTAAAATGGAAAAACAGCATTCTTTTCATGTGCACGTGATCATTTGTAGCAAAGGTTGCTTGTGGAGCTAAAAACAAACACTATTATGTTTGTTTGTTTTTTTACTTCTTGTAATTGGACGGTAAAAAGTGGTTAATAAGAGGATTTTCTTTTCTTTAAAACATTTGAACCAGGTGAAGGTAAACTATGCCACCTGAGGAGGTTTGATGAGGACATATTTACAAAAAAGGTTTTTCATCCTCAATGCAGAATGTTTATAGTTTTGTACAGTTTTGAGTGAATTTCTGCTCTGGGTTGTTTTTTCAGGAATTGTTTTTAGTCTCTGTTAATTAATCAATTACTAAATTAGTTGACAATTATTGTCATCATCGATTAATCACGATTAATCGTTTCATCCCTAGTGCTTTTGTGTACAATAAAGGAACTGAACAACATCAGACAAATTGTAACAAATGAACAAAAACCTACTTTCTTCCACTCCTTCTTGGCCTCTGTTAGTGCTCTGTTCATCATGTCTCTGCACGATGTTTCAATGATGTTTGTGATGGTACTTTCTGACGGGGATCCACCGGTTCTCCTGTCATCCTCAGCCTCCTGACGCTCCGTCTCAGCAGGCCTGAGAAGCCGTGCAGAGGCCTGGGCCAGTGCCGTCTGAAGCTCTGACACAAACTTCTCCTTCTCCTGCCGCCTTTCAGCCAGCTCCTTCTCTTCACACTGGCTCCTCCACTCCTCTTCTCGTGTCCTCAGAGTCTGCTGAAGCTTGGCCTCCAGCTGCAGCAGCAGCTCCTTCCTCTGGAGGTCAGCGTCTTCTCTGGCTTCCTGCACAGCCTGCTCCAGGTTTTTGCGCTGGTCCTGCAGCTTGGTTTGGTAGGTTTGCTCGTTTCGGGCCTGGATGATGGAGATCTCCTGCTGTTTGTCTCTGAACCATGCGGCTCGGGCTGCAGCCAGCTCCGCTTTCAGCAGGGCGGCTTGCTCTCTGCTAGCTTGCTCCAGCTGGCTCTTGAGAGCTGCCAGCTCCTCCTGAAGGTCCCCCGCGTTTTGCTGCTCCACTTGGTTTTTCCGCCACTCTTCCTCTGCTTCCTGCAAGGCCTGGGATACCTGAAAATTTATTTAAAAATTAAATATTAAAAATATGGAAAGAGGAGGATAAACTGCACTGACAGTAATTATAAAAATAACTAGGGCTGAAGCGATTAATTTGATTAATCGTGATTAACTTAGCAATCGATTAATCGTTAACTGGAGTATACTAACTCAAAAAAAGGACATTTGCTGACATATACATCCAGGTGGTTTT